CCGTCAAGATAATACAATCCACCAGCTTCATGCCCTCCACCAATCTTCATCCCCGTCTTGAGATCCTAAAAAACACACATAGAAGGGTAAAAGGTAATGGAACAATTAAGTGACTTGGTTAGCTTACTAATAGATATAAGGTTAAACGGAAATTTAGGGACATACAAAACTGAGGATAGGGATACAGGGTACAAGTCAACATTACCAACACCACAAATGGAGGATGTGGAACCATTAGCAAGGGTAACAAATTGTGATGTTGAGCAATGAAAGAGAGAAGAAAACACACCTGGAGTTCCAGTCATGTGATCGGAGGCTCCAGAGTCAATAATCCAGGGATAGGGTGTGGATGCCAAACAAGCCATACCTGAGAGTGCAAAAGTAGCCGTGTTCTGCTGAGATGTGGATTGGACAAACCTCTCATACTCATCACGTGGAACACTCACCATCTCCTTCTCGGAACCATCTGTGGATGTAAGAGGCATCTAATCAGCTGAACGATTCTCCTGTCTGAAACTGGAACTGGTGTCACTAGTCATGGCATGATTGGTCCAGGTTGAGGGTGGACCATGCAAGTCATAGCAATAATTAATGGTATGTCCATCCATACCACAATGAGTACACCTCCTCGGACCTAAGCCACGTTCTCTACCACAGGCTCCCCCTGAATCTCTACCTCTAGTACGACCATCACCACAGTTATATGTAGGTCCACCCCCATCACTCCGACCATATACCGGACCACTGCTACCACCACGGCCAGACTGAGCTCCTCGAGCTCCACCTCTAACACCATGACCCCTTGACACTGCAAAGGCTGATCTATCCGAGACATTAGAGTTCTCAGTAGATCCAATAGAAGTCCTCCGAAGTCGGGCAAACACCTCTTCTAAAGAAGGGAGAGCTGACCCTCCTAGTATCTGAGCCCGTACTAGTTCATACTCAGATTTCAGCCCCACCAAAAATCGAGTCATGTCAAGCTGTTCTCTTTGTTGTTGCTGAATTTTGACATCAGAAGTGAGGGGGTGATAAACATTCAACTCATTACGGATGTTTCTTATACTAGCATAGTACTCCTCAAGACTCTGATTGCCCTGTTGCAGATTAAAGTATTCTTGATACATCTGATATATTCTAGTTGTATTGTCTTGACCAGAATACAACTTCTTAGCATGGTCCCACACATCTTTGGCAGTGTCAAGAAACATGAAATTTACACTAATCTTGGGTTCCATACTATTCCATAACCACGTGATAATCTGTGCATCCTCTTGTTCCCAATCTTCATACTCATGAGAATCAGTGGAGGGTTTCTCCTCCCTTATGTGTTTCACCTTCTTCTTTGCCTTCAGAAAAAATTCTACAGATTTAGCCCAAGGTACATAATTCTCTCCATTTAGTATAATGGAGGTCATTTGAACATTCAGGTAGTCAGTAGGTATCATCACATTAGATTTGCTATCATTGTTATCTCCCATTGCTGAATTCTGGTATCACTGAATTCGGCACATTGCACATTGTTTGATCATACTAATCACACTGGTTTCAACACTTGTTATTGCTGAAGATTGCACTCTTTACACCACAAACCCTACCCTACGACTACCTGAAATCTTACCACTATATGAGCACCACTCCTCCTTCGAATCACACAAAAAAACAGCATAAACCCTAGCACACTACAGTCTGAAATTTCATCATACGATCTGAAACATAATTCCTATTTGATTCATAACAGAAAATATGCACAGAAATCTCTTACCTCATCA